CACCATTGGAAAGGCTACAATTTGTTTGCTCGTAACATAATCTGCAAATGTGATAGCACATAAAGGTGAACAATGATAAAGAAGAGGATAATACATAAATAGCTACAGCAGATCTTCCTCAAATATGCAAAAAAGAAAACTCGTTCATCATCCGTCTTTGTGCTTGCCCCTGAAAGAAAAAGCAACTATTCTTGATCTATATGTGAGCAATATATTCTTTACATGTAGAAGCAACTAAATTTCACCAGATTCAATACGATTTAAGATGTCACCCCATGCCTGGCAAGTGATCAATCTTGAGAAAGCAAAAGAACAGCCTGGCATATGACCACTCATCATCCAAATCAAGTTTTTCTAGGCCACTTAATCACATCCAAAAGATGTGTTTCTATATAACAGATATCTCCTCACTTTCAGCATTCCTAGTTGACCCCAAAAGGACAATATTTATAAAACCATACTACTAAATGATACAGAGCTCCTCAAGTCCAACCCCGTAAACGGAACTAAGGTTCCAAAGAGTACACATTAATAAAACAATGTTCCAACTAGCAGCCAGATTGTAATTTCTCTACGCAAATCCAGTATGTGCACCATTAAAGTACTTAATCAAAAGAAAAGGGCATCTTAGCATCTAAACAAGTTAACAGATGTTGACGAAGTTGGCGCAGCAATTAAACCAGTGTTCATAGGTGAAAGACCACGCAAAAGCAAGAACATAAGATTAAACTGAACTATTATACCTGCAACCTGCAACTATATAATTCCTTCAACAACCAAATTTGGCCAAGTACAAAATGGACAAAGAAGGAGCACTGACAGTCAATTCCTAGTAAGCATGGTAATATAAGAAAGTTAATGGATAATCACATAACACTGACTAAAACAACCACATTTCTGCAACCTGTGACCATATGAACCATACTCCTTTCCAAAATCTAGTATTGCATTTATCCAACAGAAACATCAAGGAAATCACTTCTTTTGTTAATCTTCAGTTTAAACCGTGTCATACAACATAATGACATAACTTAGTTATTCGACAAAGTATCTCTTGGTTGATAATGATGTAGATACTTTTGACCCATTGCTCTGAACAAGAAAGAAGAAAATCTTTTTTAACCCAAATTCTAACAGAATAACTTTAAGAAAACATTACTGTAGTGAGAATGGTTGTTTCCCTCTCTGTTCAGACCAAAACAAAATTTTCAAGCTATATGTAACTGTTTTCCCATTGATACAGCTACCATTCCTTCGAACATTAACACATCCCTCCTTCCACCGTAGCTTATAGCGCCAATCAAGAGGAGGGCAAGAAATTAAGCAGAAAAAACGTGAATGGATCAGAAAAAAGAAGACGGTATTTACCTATCCGATTAACAATTGACAGGGGAACCATTATGTTCTTGTTTCCAACATTGTTCTTACCAATGCAACTTGACCATCTAAAATTAGAATAGATACAAAAATCTAAAATTACCACCACTATTTCAAACTATATCATAAAGCTCTCTTTCAAACAATCAAATCTAAGTAAAAGTGAACAAGACGCAAAGTCCACAGCAAGTCCTGCTCTAAACGCCGGATAATATATAACAAAATTACAAAAATATACTAAAAAAACAAAAATAGAAACTCAGACCATTCTCACCCCTCAAATCTACCACCAAAGTTCCTTCCTTTACCCAAAAAGACCAACCAAAACAACCTTAGGATAACACAATAACAAGAAATTCGTGGAAGAATAAAACTCTGCTCTACATCTAAAAATAAACCAATAAACGCATGTTCAAAATAACCAAAAAACAGAACAAACAACACCCATTGGTGAAGGAAAAAAAAAATGATGCTCCCATTACAAGTCAAAAGAGAGAGAAAACAGCTAATACCCAGTAAACGACTACGTTTAGGAAGAGGATCAGGAGCTGCAAAGTACCTCAAATTCGTTTTCAGGCTTCTGGGTCGGGTTTAGAGTGTGTGACAGAAAAAGAAATAGAGAGACAGACAGAGAGAGAGCGAGGCGGCTCCTCTTTTCTCTGGTGTCGAGTTGAGAGTTTTCCAAGCAAGTTGGGGAGGCCGCGAGGTCAGTAAGCCTTTTGCAAGTTTGTATTTTTTTTTTGTTTTTTTGTTTTTTGTTTTCGTTTTGAGGACACGTGTCACTGCCTTCATGGTTTGCATGTGAACGGCAGTGGTAGATATCTCTGCTCTACTTTCTGGAAGAGAGAATTCTGGGATTGATTCAGTGCGTTCAACCCCACCGAGTCATTTTGTGTGGAGAGCACGCAATTGAACTAATAGCGACTCGTTCCTGGAGTCTAATTTAGTTTTTTAATTATGACCCTTTTATTATAATTCAATTTTTAAATTCATAAAATTATTTAAATTTTTTAATTTTAATAAATATTTTTATTAAAAAATTAAAACATAATTATTATAAACTTTCAAGAACAGATATTAACTTTACCTTTCATTAAAAATATTTTTTGCAGCAAGCTCTGATAACTTCCTCCGGTAATCCTCCAAAAGTAATTGGCTTCATCTTCTTGATAGGTATTCTCTCTGCTACTTAATTTTAATATGTGTTTTGCATTTGCTCTGTAATTTCGGTTCTGTGAGTGATGCGAAACCACGAACGAAATTGGGAATTATATTCAATTTGATTTCTTATCTGCGGGTTGGCGAGATTTTTCGGTACCTTTCTTTGGTAATAGTTCTTCATCTCTGCTTCTACTTGTGTAAATAATTTGAGGTCCTGCTACTGTTGCATATTAAACGATGTAATCAATTTGCTCTTATACTCTTTCCATCTAATAGTTGAATGCTACAATGTTATTCTCTTGCGTTGATTAATTTTTCTTCTTCAGTTCTTTTGTGTAGCGTAACTGATAGGTGATTTGGTCAATAGTAATTGCTTATGACAACCCTATATAAACGCTATACTTTTGGTTTTTATCCAATGCTGTTTTTATGGTAGCTTCATCTTTCAGTTTCTGAGAAATTCTTCATGGTGTCGGCTTTTGAACCTGTTAACTGTAGTATATGGGTCAATTAGATTACTGTATTTTAATTTTCCATTGCTACTATTCCCTTACCTAGAGTGCTGAGTTTATGTCTATTCACTCGGTAATTGCAGTATCTATTCTTTTTTGCATCTACACTAATCTCACAATATCTAGTTCAAGCTACGGCATAAATATGCTTGCTACTTGATTCTAGATTAACATTTCTTTTCGATTTCTTTATCTTTCAACCCTGAAGGTTTATTTTTAATTGATACTTTTGTTAGCATTGGATTGTTAGATATTTTTTCTTGATTAGCTGCTTTAATTTTTTTCTTTTTGAGAAAAACGAATACCCATTAGCCCATTAGCATCAAGCAGGAACTTGAAGATCCCGCAAAATCAAAAGAACCACAAAATTAGGCAGCTTCCATATAAAGTAGTATCCAGAGGGATGATGCATACCCCCATTTATTAAGCATGAGCTACCATATTATAGTTACTACTAATCCAATTAATGGAAAAATTCAAAACAAGAACGCAAACAAGAGAAATTCTCAACAAGTAAGCCCAATTCAGAATTTGGAGAGGAAGAGCAATTGAAAAGTGTGACAACCTGCCTGGAATCTCCTTCAATTAGAATGTGTGACAAACCCAAACCTCTTGCCAGCTGGAGACCGAAAAGCAGAGCTTGGGCTTCAGCCACATGACCTTGTTAAAGCACTAAAAATCTCTAAAAGCCCAGACCACCCCAGAATTTTGAAGGACAAAGCTCCAACCCCTCATGCCGGCCCCACTAAAACCCTGCAATAAACCTCTCAATCGTGGCACATATAGACTTGGGCATTGAGAACATACTCATCAGATAAGGGGGAATTGATGGTGCAACTGATTTGATCAAAATCTCCCTCCCAGCTTTTGGTAACTTACATTCCAGTGTTGTAACCTCAGCCACTCTAGAGACCATGTAATCAATGATAGGTGTTAGCGACCTAGACACTGCTGTAGGGAGACCAAGTATCAGTCCTGGTACTCAACCGCGCATACACCCAACATTTTGCCCAATCTTCCTGCTACCACTGCCACGACCGCCTTAGAGAATGTAACAACGTACTTCTGGAGAATAATTGATTGACCAGAGGCTCTGCATATTTCTACAAAACCTTCCTGATAACCTGTAACTCTGTAACCATTGCCCGACCAAATACAATGCTGTCATCCACAAAGGACAGATGAGAGACCAAGGGAGCAGTACACACAATTTTTACACTATGGGAAATACCTTCTTCTTCTGCCCTTCAAAGTAAAGCTTGAAAAGACACGTGCACAAAATAAACAGATAAGGAGATACTGGGTCCCCTTGATGGAGCCTCCTACGAGGGTAAACCGTCTCACTCGGTTTAGTTCACTAATATTGAATATATCACGATGGTTACACAATTCATAATAGG